GGGGGGGGCGGGCTTCTCTTGGTCTTCATGATGAAGGGGGGGAGTCAAATAAAGGAGGCTTGCGGGAACACCTATCAAGTTCAATTCAATAGTAACTATAGTCATTTCACTGTAAAAAAGGCAAAATACTGCATACCGTCAGTTCTATTTCCTGTTAATGGTGCGTGCTGGCCAATAACGCTTCATCTCTCCTCCAAAGTTCAGCTCACCCCCATTCCGGCATGTGTGCATGCATGCACGCACGCGCGCACACACACACACACTCATGCACACACAGTGTGGCTCTCGTCTACTCCGGCACCCCGCGTAATGGGAAGCCATCTGGGCTAGGGGAAAATGAGCTTCCCCATAGAAAAGATTCACGCCACGATATAAGAAATTCTTTCTAAAGAGTAGTAATACTCTGCCAATTTCAATAATGATCTTTGAAGAAAAATAAGGCACTGGACACATTCCCGCCCCGCCCCCCCTGCCGTGAGGAGAAAACCGGCTTCCTTTCTCTTCTCCGAAAGAAATGCTACCAACCATCACTGGGGAACATACCCAACTTTTCAATATGCATGCATTTTAACAGCCGACCCCCATTCCCGAGGAACAGCAGCACCCACGTCCTCCTCGCAGGTGCGCAGAGCAGCAGACCAGAGGCGGGGGAGCGGGTCGGCCAGGACAGAAAACATCAGCACCTTTTATATAACTGACCAAACAAATAAATAAACCAAACCTTCTTCTGCAGATTTGGGAAACAATCCCGCACCCGTGCCTGGATTCCCTGGGACTCTGACCGATGCCCTTCCAGGCCTCGGCTCCCGTCGGTGATACCTGCGGTCAGCTGCAGGGATTTCTCCCGTTTTCAAAGCGTTTTTAAACGCTTTTCTCCCAAGGACGGCACAAAGGCTTCCCGTGTTCTAAGGAGGCAACTCTCCCCAGCCAGGGCCACAAAATACAGACAGGCTGAGGTCAGCTGAAAGTCCGTAGGCAAGTAATCCCTCAGGACTTTTTGCAAATTGTCATTTGTAAAAGGTGAGAGCAAACCCAAGCTCCCCCAAGCTCCTCTCAATAAGGGCGCCCTCACTTGCAGGCTAATCTGCTTTGGGGAGCCCGCTCTTGTAGGTGCCTCACCCGCTGAGCCCAGGGGGGCAGACGCTTTCTCAGTAGGCCTCGTCTACCGACAGAAGGTGAAGGGCCCAGGTCACGGTCTG